CATAAAATAAACATCAGAAACAGAAAAACAGAATACCAAACAGTGTGTGCATTCAATTTGCACATAAAAATAGAATGAACTGCATCACCACTCTAACGTAAAATAAAATTTCTCCCCCTCCTTAAGGATGCTTGTTGCCCGCTCCTCACTTCTGAACTCAACAAGCTGCCAACTTGAATCTAATGTGTAGACTTTCACTTCTTTTAATTGACTATTGAAAGACTTGCTTTCATCAGGAGAAGAATGACTCAGACTCTTCATATTCATTAAACGGTCCATGAAAGATGCAATCGTTTTACTAGTTGACTCAAGGATTAGTCTCTTAGGATAACAACTCCATTGAAAATTAGCATCCACAAAAGTCTCGGGAATTTGATCTCCCTTATACTCTAGTGACACCAAATTTGGAACATCAAGCATATCCAACATCGAAGACTCTCTCGAAACACTAAAGTAAGACAAGTGTTCAAGTGTTGGTGCTTGAATTTTAACGCGCTGCTTTCTACCTTTCCAAATGGAAATTGACTTGATATTCTGAAGATTGACCAGTTCAATCTTTTCCAACCCATCACAATAATCGCATACGAAACTGACAATCAGAGGACAAATATTAAGTAGAGTCTGAAGCATCTTTTCGCTTAATGTAACATAAGATAGAGAAAGTAATCTCAAAGAGTTGCAGTTTACGACACCAGTAGATAACGAAGCACGCTTTAGATGACAACCCCACACAACCAATTCTCTTAAAGATTTCGTTGCCAAGATTTTGAAAATAGGCAAGCGGTATGATGAATATTTAGGAACATTAAAGGCGATATCTTTCACACCATTCTGAAGTGCAATGTCAAACCACTTATCAATCAACGGAAAACCTTGAGAGGAAGAATCAAAGTATGATAATTCAAACTTTTCTATAGGGATTATTCTGTCCCTATATCTCTTCATGATGTTATCCACTATATCTAAATTGTTTCCGTTGTAATCAACTATGACATCTAAATTGGGATGAGTCAACCAGGCTCGCAGCCATGTTTTAGAGAGAATACTCAGTTTTGCTGCTTCTTTAAAACTAAGAAAACAAAGTATTTTGCGAATCACACATTCTGGTAATACGTCAGCTGTCTCTGTCCTTATAGTCATATAATTGTTCGGAACCTGTTCTTCTACTTCGGTGCTGCTCGAAAACTCGGTAATCAGCTCTTCGTCTCGCTTCTCCACTTTCCACTCAAGTCTTTCGGTAGATTCAAACATTCTTTCGACCAAAATTTTGTCCTCAGTTGCTTCTCCCTTTAGAGATTTCTTATTTCTACGATACATGTTCTTTCATTAATAAATATTAGTATATATAATTCAAAGAAAGAAGCATTGTGACGCAAATTATTATTTCATCCCTCAACTATTATGACAGCCTTGAGAACCCACTTACTTTATTAACCGAACTTAATTACACTTCCATCTTGCAATATGAGTGAAACACACCCTTAAATTCTCACCAAGTTTACGATGTTTTTGACAATTCTCTCAACTTTTTACTGAGAGTCACATGTCATGCGGTAGATCCGGAGTATCTAAGTTCTAAGTTTAGTCCAGAGTGTAGAGGAGCGTTTTAAGTTCGGACGGTAGAGGAGGACCAAACTAATAATTTATGTCAAGTTCAAGCTGTTTTTAGTACTTCTTTTTAATTTAAAATTTTAAAATAAGGAAATTAGTAGTATAAGGCAACTTAAACACTACATGTGAATATTCAAAATTTAATTAGGATTATAACTCTGTTTATAGTTTAAACTTAAGGTTTATATTTAGTGTTTATATGGAGTTTATAGATTTTAATTTGGTAAAAATTATGAAGAGATACAGAGATGAGAAAATTCCTATAGACAAGTTTGAACTTTCGATGGACATTCCAATACCTACTGGTTATCTTTTCTATTGGATTGATAAGTGGCTTGACATTGCTCTTCTGGCTTCAAATTTTAATAACTATAACAATTAAAAATAATTAGTGGATTTGTTGGTTAAGAAATAACTGAGATTTGGATTAAAGTAACAATATGTTATAGTATATATATTTTGATGTATGATATGATTAATTTTTTTTGGTGATATATCGGTGTAGAATTATAAAAGATATTGATTTTTAACATATGGTGAAGTTGACTTCAATAATATGTTACAGCCCTATAATATCGTAACACCATAAATTAGTCAAATATGTATCAACTTTTTAGTATCATCAAATTAATTTGCATGATGTACTATGTTTTAACCTTGGTGTCTAGTTAATGAATTATACGAAATTATAACCAAATAAATTTAAAAAATAAATAATTACCATTGATGATAAAGTTAATGCTTTATTATATGTTCCAGCCTACATTAATGTAAAAAAATATTTCTTTTTAAATGTAGGGAGGACAATAAAAAAGAACAAAAAAATATTTTGAAAAATAAAATGGACATAAAAAATATTTCTTTTTAAATTTAGGGAGAAAAATAAAAAAGAACAAAAAAATATTTTGAAAAATAAAATGGGGTAGAAAATAGTTTTTTTTAAAAAAAAAGAATAGGAGAAAGAAACGACTGAAGAGAGAAAAAAAAAGGAAAGAGAAAAAATTTAGAAAAAAGAGTGGAGACAGAAAAATATCTGCTTACCTAATAATTAATATTTCAGGAAGAAAATTAGATTAGAGGAGAAAGGTAAGGAAGTAAAAATATTTAAGGGGAGATATTTTAGGGAAAAAAAAAAAAAGAGAGTTTTTTAGGTGAAAAAAAAAGTTTTTTTTAATCCCTTTATTATATTTTAGTTTTTTAAAATTATTGTTCTGTTTTTGTAAAGATTTTATTGTTACGTTGGTGGAAAGTCAAATTACTGTTATATAGAACTAATTTGGGTGTTCAAATCATATAATTAGGTTTTTCTCCATATATATATATATATATATATATATATATTGGTGTAGCCATATATAATTAAGGGGTGTCGATCGATAATCTTTCGTCACAAAATACATTGTTAGAGTATATATATCTGTGTGTGAAAAGATTAATTAACTAAGCTATATTTTATTGGACATATTATCTGCAAATAATGGTCCTTATTATATATTTCCTCTGTACCTAATTACTTGTCGACTTTTGAATTGATACACCTATTAAGAAAATAATTATTGACATAATGAGTTTATCATTTGACCCTTATTAATTATGAAGTGGTTGAATTAAAAATCTAAGATTTTCAAAAAGTTCTACCTTTCTAAAAGTAATTAATTGAGGATATAATAGATAATCTTTTATTTTTGTCATTTCTTGATTTGTCAAAATGGACAAAATAATTAGGAACATGGAAGTATTACTAAAAGTAGGAAGCTCCAAAGATGAAAAGTCAGATTACCATCATGTATCTTTTAAAGTTAAATTTCATGCTCTATCTTTTTTATATTTATTTTAATAGTATTTTACCTTTCAATTTTTCATGTGACTATTCATGTTTTCGTATTTTTTGTACTATAATTAAATATATAAATTTTTTTAATAAAGACTTTTATTCACTACTCCTATAATTCTTGTGTAGGAGCTTTAAACAAGTGAAATAATGTCACAATTTGTGTTAAAGTCGTGAGATCCCTTTATGCAGTCACGAGATTAGACAAAATTTCAATTACTGAAGTATCACAGTTTGGTGGGTTAGTTTTGTACTTATTATTTGTATTGATTACAATTATTATAAGACAAATTGTATTAAAGTCGTGAAATTCCCTTATGCAGTCACGAGATTAGATAAAATTTCAATTATTGAAGTATAAGAGTTTGGTGTGTTAGTTTTGTACTTATTATTTGTATTGATTACAAATAATACAAATAACCTCGTTCGGCTGGCAGATCAGGAATTGAATTTTCCATCATTGCTGATGAAAATTGAGAATTGATTTTACTTATATGAATCTCTTTATATATATACTAAAACCTTTATTCGTATAGCACTCTTTTTATTAATTTATTTTTGTTGCTTCCTAATATAAGTCGAACTAGAATTCACATATATCTTTTAATTATTTTGAAATAAAAATTTTTATATTTAGAAGTTACATAAAATATAAAATAATTAACAATTCAAAACAAATAGGAAAAACTATGTTAATGGGCCATAAAATTCAAAAAAAATTACATGTTCATACCCAAATTCAAAGTAATTCCTGAAATATTCTTCTCATAAATAGTTACAGCTCATACCCCATTTATTAAGCCTGATTATAATTGTTTATACATATTTGAGGTCTCTTGTAAGAATTTTATCTTGAGCCAATATTTGGTACTCTTACAAATCATTACTTACACAATTGTGTCCATTAGAGTGCATCCTTGATCCTTCATTCTTGTTGTGCTTATGAGAAAGTAAGCTCTCAAGGCTGACTTATTAAACTTTGGATATCTTATTGACTCATCCTTCACATTGTAAGAAGAAGAAATTTTGTCAAAACTACATAAGAAATTTGAAACAAAAAGGGCACCTTAATTAAATGTAAAACAAACATCTTTGTCGAAGATTCTTTAACACCATACTCCTTTGTAACCGAAAAGTGTAGTCTTGATATGATAGAAAACTGTCCGATTCTGTTTCCTACTTGAAATAGAACTCTTTTGGAACACACACATATATTATAATTCTAATTTATATTGTTTTTTTTGACTGTGATAAATTTATACCGTCAATCAAACCTCTATAAACTTAATCTCAGGATATCTCACCTTATCTCAATTTATCAAAATAAATTGATAGGAGTTTTACACATGGATTATTAAAAGGGTATTACATTTGCCAATTGTGTAACACTAGGGTATATGTTAGTTATTTTTATAACAAGAGGTATATTATTATTAGTTATAAACCACAAAGTTTAGGGTTTATGGGAGACCCTTTTCCCTAGAATTTACGAAACTGTGGGCGATAAATTCAAGAAAACCCTAATACTTTTTTCAGAGAGATGAACAAACTAATCAGGATGAGAGCTACATCTGACATATTGTCTGATGGTCTCATACACAAAATACTCTCTTTTCTTAGTTTTAAAGAAGCAACTAAGATGAGCATTCTCTCCAAAACATGGCTACGAGCCTGGTCGACTCATCCCAATTTGGAATTCGAAGTTGATTATCTTAATGACAATATGAAAAAAGTGGATAGTATCATAGAGAGATATCGGGATGAAAAAATCCCTATAGAGAAGTTTGAATTATCTAATGCTAGTTTTCCCCAAGAAATTTTTCCTTTATTTGATAAGTGGCTTCACATTGCACTTCAGAACGGTGTAAAAAATATTGTATTTAGAGTTCCTTGCTATACAACATACACCTTACCTGTTCTCACAATCTTGGCGGAGAAATCTTTAAGAGAATTGGTTCTGAGGGGTTTTGATTTGAAGCATGTTACGTTATCTAGTGGTGGTGTGGCGAACTACAATTCATTGAAAAAGCTTTCTCTTTCTTCTATATGTTTAGACGATAACATGCTTCAGACACTACTTAATAGATGTTCTTTGATTGTCGATCTCGTCCTTGAGCATTGTGATGGGTTGGAAAATATTGAGTTGTTGAATCTTCAAAGGATCAAGTCAGTTACCATCAAGACATTTAGAAAGCAACGTGTTAAAATTGACGCCCCAACTCTTGAACACTTGTACTATTTAGATGCTGGGGAAGCATATCCTACGTTAGATATTATCAATGCTCCAAATTTGGCATCACTAGAGTATATAGGAGATCAAATTCCTAAGGCTTTTGTGGATGCGAATTTGCAATGGAATTGCCATCCTAAAAAAGTCATCCTTTTCGCAACTAATGAAATGATTTCACGTTTTGTGAATCGTTTAACGAGTATGAAGAGAAGCAAGCCTTTGCGTAATAGATTACAACAAGTAACAACCTACAAATTTGATTGGGAAAATCAGATATGGCATCTGGTAGAGTTCAGAAGTGGAAAGCTGGCTCTTACTAGGGACAAATTTTATTTTTTATTGGATTGGTGATGCAGAGTCACTGTTTCATTTGTAAAAGCTATTAGATTTTCAGTTCAAATTTGAAATATCAATAAACCGAGACACCACATTGTACGTGTGTGGTGTGTCGAAAAGGGAAGTTAAGTTGCATATAGTTTTGTCTAAGACTAGTATTTCTGTGATGTGTGTGTCTTTTCTCTGTCTCACTGCAACCATATTGCCTTCCCTATGAATATGAACAAGAGAGAATTGACCTCTCTGGATCAATAATGTTCTTAATGTGCCAAGGACTATGCATTTTCTTGTTCATCAGGTTAACCATCAGTTATATTTATATAAACGAATTCCTTTGAAGGAAAAATAAAGCACCTCTTTTGCTGTTACGCATTATATTGCTCGTCTATCAAGATTTTAGCACTGATATGAAATTGTAAATTAATGTATTTTATGGTAGTTAGGTTTGTCCCGAAAATTAGACTTGTAAGACTTCAAATTGTAGATGAAGAACTTCATGATAAATGGTCTAAAGAGTGATTCTTAGAGAAATGTTGATGATTTCCAGGGTGGGGTGTTATTGAATGATTTAGGTAAGTTTGCGAAGGTGAAGATTCATTGGGCTACTACTTGTCGTCTTGGTGATTATGCATATATTTATCCCAAAGTAAGTTCCTACAAATAATAGTGGACGTCTTTGAGAACGCGTTTAGGGAGGATGAAGATGTAAGACCAATAACTGTGAATGTATCGTAGGACGACAGAGTTCACCAGCAGCATAGGATAGGTGCATGGTACCCCAGCATTTCCACCTAGCTATGAACTTGTCAATTAGTACTTCACAATGTACTTATTTTATAAACGAAGTTCAGCCTAATGTGGATGCCAAGGTCACACAAGTAGTTTTTGGGCTAAGATCGAGTAATAGGGCAAGGTTAATTTGGTATCTGGGTTGAGTTGTGGGCTGGATTAACATGTTAAGGATAAAAGATGTGTATCCATTAAAAGCTGATAGCCCTTAATTAGATATTAAAAGAATAAGTGTAAATAGTTTAAAGATTGAATAAGTGCATTCAATTCGAATTAGAGACAAATTAACTGCATCACCAATCTAATAAAAAACGAACTTGCTCCTTCCGCTCCATAAGGGTTGTTGTCGCAAGCTCCCCACTTGTGAGTTGGGGCAACTGAATTTTTCCATCAAAAGCTTTTATTTCTTTTAATTGACTATTGCCAAGGTGTGCTTCTATGAGAATGAGAATGACTCGAATTTGTCATAAACACTAAATGATCGATGAAATTTGTAACCGTTCCAACAACATGTGAGAATAGGTTAAGCCTCCTTGGATGACAACTCCATAGCAAAGCATCCTCAAAATTCTGATTCATCCATTGAACATTGACATTTAAAACATCCACCCGAGGGGTAGAACCTATGTGGTCCATTTGCAAATCTGTCATGTTAATAACACCGCAATTGATAAAAAAAAAAGAGAAACTTCAGACCAAGAGGATGAATTAGATAGAAACTTCCTCAAAACTTACAAAACCATGAACCGTTTAAATTGTCGCATTTAAGAATGATTTTTGAGTGCTCCAATCGGGTTGACTCTCTTGCAATTTTAAGTTGAGGAATTTGACTCCCCACTAGTCAAGTGATACCAAATTCGGAGTATCAATCTCCCATGTACTGACGAAACTTCAAGACTTTCAAGGAATCCGACTTAATCTTTCCAAGATTCAGACCCAAACAATGCTCAAGACGGAAAGAAACAATCAAGGGACAACTATTAAGTAAGCATGTTCTCGTCTAATCTAACACGATATAGAAAAAGTTTTCTCCAGTAGATAACAAATTAAGCATAGTACTACAATCATACAGAACAAATTCTCTTAACGATTTTGCTGTTGCCAAGATTGTTGAAATAGGCACGTGGTAAATTGTATAGTTAAGGATAAGATGTTTTACACCATTCTGAAGTGCAATGTCAAGCCAGTTTATCAATTAGAGGGTAAACTACATGAGGATGAGCAGAGAACTCTAGTAATACAGATTCTGTTCCCTATCATTATATCGCCTTCCCAATGATTAACAGACAATTCTAAGTTGGGTAGAGTCGACCATGCTAGTAGCCATGTTTTGACTCGGATTTGATTCACATCTATTTTGGATATCTTGTCTATTACAAGATATCTTCATTTTCACACATAAGCTCGGAATAGTACTATAGCAAGCTCAATATTCAGGTCCCATGCTTGTTATTCTCTCTTGTGAGGGATTATGAGACTAAAACATATACACATAATATCAAGGCTTCCACTCTGTCCAAATATATACAGAGTATCATGTATCATATATATATATATATGTATGTATGTACTCTTAGTTCTGCAATTGAAAAATGAAATTGAAGAACGAAAACGTGCTCCAAGTCCTTATGAGCATCTCAGGGGAAGGAAAACAGAGTTCAAAGGCGTGTTTCTATGAGAAGTAGAATGACTCAAATTCTTCGTATACATTCATGAAACATGTAATCATTTTAACGCTTCAGCATACGTTGAGCCTCCTAAGATGAAATATTTTCTGTTCAAAAGTATGTTTTAGAAAGTGTTTCCGAAACTAAACTAATTTTTATCAGCAATATCAAACAGTCTAAATTTAACAAGCAAGTTTTGATAAATATCTTATGGTAATCAAAATATTTTTGCAAAACTCAAACACTAAAGTTGTTCAGTCGTAACTTAATACTAAAAAAATAAACGACCTTTTTAGTGTCTCTATATCTAGCCCTCTTAAGTTTTTTAATTTATATTCATAACTATAATTATTTATAATACTTTATATTCATTTGGATCCTTAAAAATATTGATTGAATTTTTCATACTTCTCATTAAAAGACTATACTAGATAAAATAGTCATTAAGTACTATTCTTTAAGGTATTTAAGAATAACAATTTAATTAGTTTCAACAAAAATAGTCTTTATAATATTGGTTGTCATTATTTAAGATACTTAAGAATAACAATTTAATTATTTTTAGTAATACTTAATGACTAATTAATACTAACATTGTTAGTATTGTTTTTTCTTCTTATTGCGAGTTATGTAATTTAGATAATAATAAGGAGTCACTTTACTCTCTTCTCTCTCCTAGGAAAAACTCTATAAAAAAAAATTTAGTATAATTTATTCGTACTACTATGAAGTTAATTAAGGATTCAACCTTTTCAATATTCTTTTTTATATTTTAATTAAGGGTGTTTCATATAACTTTCAAGTCATTGCAATATCCTATATAGTATTATTTCCTTTTAGTAGATTGCTAATAACCAAAATTATATCAATAAGTCCTTGAAGCTTGTCACTAGCAGCTTTCAATTGGGGTGGTTCAGCAGGTGGATCTGAAAAATTATCATCACACGTAGAAGAATCATCGAAAGCAGCAGATGCATGAATATTCAAACCAGCATAGTCTTTAGATTTTAAAAAACCAGGCAATCCTCTAAGATCATCAATACCGTCATTGTAATTCTCCAAACACGAACTATATCGTGTCTTTAGTTTTGGATCTGTAGCCTGTTTAAGCAATGTATCAACAAGATCATGCGTGGACTGCATGTTCTTTAGCGATATGTCTATTGAGATAGTCGCAAGGCCTTCAAGATTTGCACCTCTAGATCGAGAATCCCCTTTTAGAGCTGATAAACATGTGGCGGGTTTTTGTGTTTTTGAGCAAACATCATTTATAAGATCAGCTCTCGCGCTTGTTAACATGAGAGAAACCATCAAAAACGAAATAGACATATACAAATGTTTCATTTCGTATCATCAAATATTTTTATTTGTGTTTTGTGTTATGCGTGTTATATAGTCATACTTTAATTGAGAAAGGTATGCAATTATTGCGTTAAAAGAAAATTAAGTAAGAATCTACTAGTATTTAATTTTTCAGTCTATCACATATATTAAATGATTTTTTATGTACCTTTGTAAAACTAAATTAAGTTATATTTATGTTGGATAAGATTTTAATTTACAGTAAATAATAGGACTATATTTTTGGTAGAAGAAAAAATTAGGACCTTCAAATCAATAATGTTCCTTTAATTGTGGTGATTACATTCTATATTGAATAAATTATAGTGGAAAATTGCAATTAATGTTGTGAAGTTTATTGCAGTATATATTAATTAATGTCAATATTATCATTCATGACTTTGTTTTAAGAAAAAAACAAGGAGCTTTATATTACTAAAAAAGAACTCCCTCCTTCATCACACGGTCAAATAATATTTGAATGAATCATTTTTTTATACATTTATTTCGATTAAATTTGAATTAGTATTAAAAAATAAGAGTGTGCAAAAATCGAATAACATTATGATTGTTTTGCCTACTTTGAAATTTTTGAATGAAAGGATAAAAGATAGTGAGTGCAATCTATATTTCTAAAAAAAAAATCATGCTTTTAATATTATGTGTGTTGCACGTATGTGATGATTCATGTTTTATTAATTAAAAGAAAAAGATAAGTGTCAAAAACACACCCAAATTATTTACTTTTTTTGAGTTTTATACCTAAACTATCATTTTTTAGTTTAAGAAACACACATTAGTGGTGTGTGTAATGTACTCTCGCTTTTATTTGAAAAAACTGACACATGACATTCCACATAGATAAAAATTAAATAATAAAAAATTAATATTAATTAAAAACTAAAGATTACTATCCATATAAAAAATTAAATTTTTTTTTATCTCACTTTACCACCTCCTCCACGTCTCTCCCCCGCGACAACCCCATCCTTTCTTTTACAAAAAAAAATCATTTATAAAATATTTAAAAAAAAATTCATATTTCATCCCCCCTCCCCCGATAGAAATTGATATTATTTTATTTAAAAAAAATCTACCCCATCCTATTTAATTTTCCGCTCCTAATTTTAATTTTTTTACGTTTTTCTTATTTTGTGTTAGATATGCACGTACATATATTTTTAGAAATTTTTTTTTACTAGTGTGCCGAATATAACATAAACAACTAAAAGATATAAAAAGTCTTGTGGCAGCAAGTAAAAAATATTTTCGATATGTATGGCTAAACACTGGAAAAAATTTGAAAAAAAAATAGAAGATTAAGTGGGATGGGTAAAATTATATTTTTAAGAAAATAAAATAATATCTAAATTGGTATTTGATGAGGGGATAGAGATGAAATAAAAAATGAAATATTTTTATAAAAGAAATTTAAACAAAATAAAAAACTTTAAAAAATGATGTGGGGTAAGAAAAATATTTTACATTTTATTGTATAAAGAAAATATTATTTTTTTATAATAGTTTTTTTAATTTTTATTTTTAATTATTAATAATAACTTATTTATTTTTTTGTCAAGATTGAATATTTTGTCCATATGGAGTGTGATGTGGAATTCTTTAAAATAAAAGAGAAAGAGTGTATTACACATACCATACCATGATGAGAGTGGTATAAAAGAGAGATGTGTGTTTCTCAAACTAAAAAGTGATAGCTTAGGTATGAAACTCAAACTTTCAATAGTTTAGGTATGAAACTTTAAAAAAAAAATAGATGTGTTTTTTACACTTATCTAAAAAACCGTAAAAAAAATAAATAATATATTATGCTTAATTTATTTTTTTTTAAACAAAACACCATGTGCTACTTAAAATATTTTCTTCTACAAACGGTTAAATATTAAAGTTAAAGTGTCAACAAAAAGAGTAAAACAGAAACTATATAAAATTATCCCAAGACTTTTTTCTTTTTTTTTTTTTATTAAAAAAAATTCTAGTTGGTCGAAAATATACATCATATGTTTCAATTAATATATTTGCCTTACTTTTCAATTAAATTCATTTAAAAAAGATTATCCTTTTTTCTTTTTATAACTCTTTAGGGTGCGTTTGTTAAGGAAAACGTTTACTTGGGAAAAGAACAAATATATTTTTAAATTATTTTCTTATATTTGATTGATGATGGACAATATTTTTTAGTTTTAATATTTGGCTAGTGAATTAAAAAATATTTTCCAAAAAATATCTTTTCTTTTTTGTTTTGTTTGAGACTAGAAAATTCTGTTTAGAAGAATACTTTTTAACTCAAAAATCATCCTGATAATCAATGTAGGACCTGACCCTAACATCGAACTAGAAAACGACCCCATCAATCTTTCTAAAATTCGACTCTGAGATCTGACACAAACTTTCGACACTAGAATATTTTTCAAAATTAATATTTTTAAAGAAAAAATTGACGTTGTGGGGGATGTAAGGGGGGGGGGGGGCGTCTGAGGGTGTGGCTGGGGTAGGATGGTGTAAAAATGAAATCTTAAAAAATTGAATTTCAATTTTAAAAAAATTGACGAGGGGGGTGGCATAAAAATGAAAATTTTAAAACTTGAAATATTTTTCAAAAATAAAAAATAAAACCAAATCCCGAGGGAGGGGTGGTTCGGGGTGGGGAGTGGCGTAAGAAAATTAGAAATCAACGGGCTACCTAGAAAGAAGGGAAAGGGGTTAAAAACTCCCTTAGCGTATCTCAAATGGTTCAAATATATCCTCCTTCTATCTTTTAGTTTAAAAATGCCCTCAACATTTTTATAAGGTTTAAAATTGCCCTTTTTTTAACAGTTCACTAACATGGCAAATGGTGAGTCATTTTAATTACATAGATGACTTCATCTTATTGGTCCACCTAATTTTTTAAGTCCAACCTAACCATCCGACCCATTTATGCTACGAAAATTCAAACCCACCCAAAAACCCGTTTACATATTAAACGACCCAGAAATGCTGAGCATTATCATTGCTCTGTTTTCATTTTTGTACAGGGTTTCTAATGAGAATTTGAATTCTAAACGACGAGAGTTTCAAGATAGCTTCTTCAATATATGACAAACATATTGAATTCAAAAACTTGCTTACAATAGAACTAGAAAACCTGTCGATTCTCCATTCTTATTTATCGAATTCCAAGTCGTAATCAAGTTTATAGTTCAGTCATTGATTCCTCAGAGTCATATGCAAAAAAATCAACTTAGACAAATCTTGTTGACAGAAGAAATAAACATTGTAATTCTTCCATCTTTTATTTTTCCTGAAATTAACTACAGAAATGGAGAAAAAAGAAAGAGTTGAAGGAGATAGGAAGAAAGAAGAGAATTAGAATTAATGGGAACAAACGAACCAAATACGATTGGCATGTCGGGTCATGATTTTTAAATGGATTTCTAGATTAAGTGGGTCATTTATTTTGAAATGGGTAAAAGAAGATTCATGTCACATTTGCCATGTCAGCGGACCGTTAAAAAAAGGACAATTTTAAACTTTATAAACATATTAAGAGTATTTTTAAACCAAAAGGTGGAAGGAGGAGATATTTGAACCATTTGAGATACGTTAAGAACATTTTAAACTTTTTTTTCCTAGAAAGAATAACATCGAAGACATTTGTAGTTATGTTTGAAACACTCTAAAGTAGAAATTAAGTCTTTTTCCTTTTACGAAATTTGCATTACTCGTTACTTTTTTTTAAAAAAAATGGTTTTGCTTTTGCAAGCCCCTATAAGATTCAAGTTTAAAATTAGGCATAATACATATATTGGATCCTAAACTTGGCTTCAAATTTTAACTTTGACCTACAACTTTCATAATGCACAAATAGGCACTTTAACTATCCAATTTTTAAATAAATAAACACACGAGTCCTACATGGCAAAATACACGTAGAACACCACGTAGGACAAAAAATGACATGTAGGATGACATGTAGGACATGTGTGTTTATTTGTTTAAGTTTATACAAGTTTAAGTGTCTACTTGTGCACACCCAAAATTGAAGAGCATAAATGTGATTAGAAGCCAAGTTAAAGGGCATATTTATGTATTATGCCTTAAAATTATGTTCTTAGTTCTATTTTATTAATATCTAATACATTGTAACCAATGCAAAAAAGAATAAGTGCATTCAATTCAATTTGAAATAGAAACAAATTAAATTTAACTACACCAATGTAATAAAAAATAAACTTTCTCCCCCTCCATACGGATCCTTTTTGCAAGCTCCCCACTTATGAGTGGTAGCGACTGATTTTTTCCATCAAAAGCTTTTATTTCTTTTAATTGACTATGCCAAGGTAAGCTTCTATCAGAAGTAGAATGACTCGAATTCATCATAAACAGTAAATGATCAATGAAATGTGTAATCGTTGGAGTAACATTTGAGAATAGGTTGAGTCTCCTTGGATGACAACTCCATAGCAAAGCATCCACAAAATTCTGATTCATCCATTCAATATTGACATTTAAAACGTCCACCCGAGGCGTAGAACCTATGTGGTCCATTAACAAATCTTTCATCTTGATCTCACAGCAATTTATAAATCTAAGGGAAACATGAGACCAAGAGGGCGAATTTGATAAAAACTTCCTCAACTTACAAAACCATGCCGCATTTAAATGGTTGATGCATCCAAATTTCGAGTGCTCCAACTGGTTTGACTCTCCTGCAATTTTATCAATTTCGGGAATTTGAGCCCCCACATAGTCAAGTGATACCAAATTTCGAGCATCAATCTCCTCTATCTTGCAATGATGAATCTTCAAGACCTTCAAGGAATCCGACTTGATCTTTTGAAGCTTCCCAGAACAATACCCGAGGATTAAAGAATCAATAAACGGACAACTATTAAGTAGAGCCTGGACTATGTTTTCGTCTAATCTTATATTGGATAGAGAAAGCTTTCTCAATGATTTGCAATTCACAACACCAGTAGATAACGAATCAGGCATGCTACCCTGTACATCCAATCCTCTTAAAGATTTTGCTGCCAATATTCTTAAAATAGGCATGGGGTATGATTTAAAGTTGAGAGAAAGATGTTTTACACCATTCTCAAGTGCAATGTCGAGCCACTTATCAATCAGAGGGAAATCTTCACGAGAATTAGCAAAGCTCTCTACTAATTCGAACTTTTGTATAGGGATTTTCCCCTTCCTGTATCTCTCCATGGCTGTGTTCGCCGTATTTATATTGCCTTCCCAACAATTAATAGTGAATTCCAAGTTGGGAAGCGTCGACCATTCTTGTAGCCATGTTTTGGAGAGAATGCTCATCCGCGTTGCTTCTTTAAAACTAAGACAACAGAGAATTTTTTGAATGAGACAATCCGGCAATATATCAATCATATTGAACCCTAATGTCAAAAAGAAAAACTCTAACGTGCTTTTGGAGGTAGCTATGAAACAATTCTTCAATTTATAAAGTATTGTTTCCCTAAAAGACAAAAAAATAAAAATAATCTTTGTATATTACAGGAATCCTATTTCTAATTGGTTAAGGTAATTTTTCGTCCCTTTAACTTTCCCAGTTTTATTAAAATTTAGAAATTTATTTTTGGAAATACCACGCTTTAAAAAAAAAAAAACCTATTCTAGCTATGATACAAAATTCTTTAATTTATATATAGGAAAACCCGTACATATTATAGAAATCCTATTTCTAATGTAATTGTCCTCCTTTTCTAAAGGGAAAAAACTTACTTACAGAGTTTTTGCACCAATCCAATACATGTCTGCCGCGTGTTAAGATTGTATATTTGTATTCTCTTTTCTTTTAATTGACTATAACAAGGGTTGCTTCCATGAGAAGTAGAGTGAATTGAATTCTTCATATGCATCAAACGATCAATGAAAACTGTAGCCATTTCTCTTGTTAATTGCAAGTTGAGTCTCCTAGGCTGACTACTCCATACCAAATCATCCACAAATGAAGGGTATTCGCGATTCATCCACAGAATGTAGACATCTAAAACGTCCACCAGAGGCGTAGCAACACCAGATAACGAAATTGGCAAATTTATGCTGCCAAGATTGTTATAAGAAAATATTGTTTACGTCATTCTGAAATGCAATGTCAAGTCTGAAGCATGTTTTCGTCACATGTTAGATAAGATAGAGAAAGTTTTCTCAAAGAATTGCAATTCACAACAACCACACTAGGCAAAAGAGTACAATACTCCAGCACTAATTTTCTGACAGAGTTTACGGCCAAGATTGAGAAAATAAACAAGGGGTATGATGACATGGTAAGGTGTTTTACACCATTTCTAAGTACAACGCCAAGCCACTTATCAATCATAGGGACAAGTAATACTTCATGAGAATCTTCGATGAACGTTTCAACTGATAATTCAAACTTTTGGATAGGGATTTTTCCGTCCCAATATCTCCTCATGATATCATCAACTATTTTCATATCATTTTCTTTTGAATAATCAATTGTGAAATCCAAGTTTGGAAGATTCGACCAAACTTGCAGCCATGTTTTGCTCATCCGAGTTGCCTCTTTAAAACTAAGAAAACAGAGTATTTTGTGAACGAGACATTCCGACAATATATCAATGGAAGGTGTCCTATCGTACAACCGTACCTTAAAACCCCATTTTTCGACTCCGCCAATCAACTCTTCGCCTCGCTTCTGCAATTTCTGCGAGCGAATTCAAACATTATTTCCTTGTGATTTTGAGTTTCAATTGTTTTTTCTTCCCATTAGAGGTTTTTTGAATTTATAGGTTATGCCTAACAAAAGAAAGACCTATATAGAGCGGGTGACTTTAACTTTGAACAATAATCAAACTCCTCCGTTTTGTATTAGACACGTGATGGGTTGTATTTGGGATACAAATCCCTGCGATATAGGAGAGAATCGTGATGAAATCTAATGGAAGTGAAAATATTAATTTTAAACTTTAAAAAAAATAAATTCAATGTAGGAGTATATTCTATCCTTCTGATTTGAGTTTTAAATATCTTTCTTATAGGTCTATTATTATTTGAGTTTTTCTTTTTATTCCAATTTAATATTTAGTGTGAAAATATGAGAAATAAAAAGAAAGAACTATGAAAACAAATTGTGAAATCTTTGTCAGGGTTCTATTACCCTCTAGATTTTTTTTAAAATGGAGTAATAACATATTATGTTGTACTTATGCTTTAACCAACGAAAAAGGTACCGGAAAAAGAATCGACATTGAACAAGATATTGAAAACATATGCATAAGAAAAACTTGAAGTCTTGGAACACTATTTGTGGTCTTGTAACCAGAGACGGACGGACCTACATGTTTTTATGATGAGTTGTACGTACACTCGTTAACTTTGAAAAAAATCATGTGTAATATATGTATATTTATCTTCAATAATTGATAGAAACTAGATATAATTAATAGTGTCCCATAAAAAGTATAACAACGGGCACACGTTCAAACATCCATTCCGCGACTAAGATTCTATTCAAGCTATAACCTTTCTTCTTAGCTTAATATTGGTTGGTGCACCCGGAGTTTTAAAATCCTGGGTTCGCCTCTACCTGTAATTATTTGAAATTCACATGAAACCAACAGTACCTCTAACTCTTTTATTTTCATTCAAAATGTAAGACAACAAAATCAGAATCCATTCGGTCTAGAGGAAACGATTTCAGCAAATCTTTTCACTTAGAAAGTTAAACCATCGATTAGTCGATTACACAAAAACCAGCAATTCCTATACCAAGAAATCCAAGTATCAGCTAACGTCAACAAGTGTACAAATTTACCAAAAAGACTAGTTCCATGTGTGATTTTTCTTACAAAAACGTAATTCTAATTCTTACGTAGTGTAAGAACTAAATACGAGATAACAATTTTGCCCTATCAATTCCTTCCACGTTATAATTTTTAGTAATTATGTCAATCCTGCAGTAATTAGAGTGAATACAATGGAAAAGATGTAGCAGACAATAGCAAACCTTAGGAGTAATTTGGAGGGCTCTCGTACACTGAATTCAGTTTTAAACATTCTTAATTTGGTCAAAAGACAGATATCATATCAACAATTTTCACATTACGGGCATTCATAACATCTGCATACTAAATTTTAAGATGATGAAGAAAACCTCTACGCGCAAAATGCATCCAGTAAGAAAAATCAGTATACTGCTGCTGACTTATCCACTGAAATGTGAACAGACCAATTTCGAACTCTAGAATTCAGCCACCCCGAGCTTCTCTCCTCGTAGCATCATGAAGCAGTTCAATGTCAACTCCATCAGGAGGTAACTGCACGTATCTGACCACCGATCCTCTGATGAAGCAGTTCCTCACGGACCTCTATTGCCATAAAAGAAACATAGGACGTATGTATTAGCATTCTGATCAGAGAAGTACTAATATTCATAAATAATAGAGGGGGAAACAGAAGGGGTGATGGCAGTGGGGAGGAAACGACAAGGGGAACATACTACATATCCATGTTTCTCACTCCTTTTCTCAACTTCCATTTTCGTTTTCATAGGCTCGTAAGTCGCAAGTGTACATGTACATCGTGATACAGCAGTCAACACACATATCACTAGTTGCATAAAGGCAAATTTTAAGCTGTCAGGTCGGATTTATTAGGTCAATAACTACATGCAGCTACTTACTAGTAGATTCTACTTTGGAATATAGTTTCAATATCATTCATACTCTTGCACACTTTCGGAAAAATTGATCAATGCAAGAAGGTTGCTACCGGAATCACGGATATTCAAAAGAATAGGGATAGTGTGTATAGGGAATGGTTGATGTCTATATAACTTCTCATATAAAATACAAGGAACGGAAAGAAACCATCATTTTCTTATGATACATCTTCTTTCATTTAATGTTTGTAAATTCAGATCTATGAAATTTATCACGTGGAAGCTCTAGCTAGATCTGTTTTCCCAGCTCTACAGACTACAAGGAAGTGGGTGTGTACCACCACATCCCATGGGACATGAGAAACAGGTGAACTTCTGTTCTTATTAAATCAGAAGCGGGTGAGGCTGGTGAGTGAATGAAAAGGAAAAACGATGCACGAAGACAAAAGGAGAGAGAATCCAACTTAGTGGGAAAAGAGTAGAAAGGTGAAAGGGGGAATATGAAGTTCACCATTGACTTTGCTTGCCAGGGCGAGTGAGGCTTAATCAGCCAAAGCCCAATTGCGTTCTCTGACATCATCTAGATATAGTCGCTTCTCGTTCCAATTTGTGAATCTAGTCAAAGTATAAGGGCTGACAGAGATTGTAGCTCCATTTATAATTCGTACTTCTAGAAAACCAGATAGAAAAGAAGTCCTAGACAATAAGACTGGAATTGTGACATGCTGGAAATTAACACAATCACATAAGTTTTAGTTCAAAGTGGTGAGACCAAAAAGGCAGCAACTACACAACAAATTCAACCTGTTGAAACAACAAAAGAATTTCATCAAAGAGTTCCATAAAAACATGTGGTAGTGTATCTAGAGGAAGGCTGATAGCAGCCACGGAAGCATAAATACAATAAAGAACTTTGATGAAGCTCTTAAAAGGCCTATGACAAGATCTCAAATAAGAAACTTCAAAAAGAAACTAATTGGGCTTCAATTGCAAAGAAAGAAGTGTCTAGTTTTGGGAGAAGAGTTCAAGCCAAGAGGATCTTTTGCACAAGTGTTCTAGCTATTTTTGTGGGCCAAATTGAAGCCAAAGATGAAAAACATGCCTTTTATGGAGGTCCAAACCAGTGCACTTTGGACCAATTTAGGCACCTGGATTGTGCCAAACATGCACCTAGCAAAGCTCCCACTTGGGGCACATTTTAGCCCTTAAAATGAGCTTCCTTGCTATCCAAGAAGGATCACACAGGTGTACAAATTGATAGGAGAGTTGTTGCTTAAGTTGCTTGCAAGTTATCTTCAAGATGTTCTTTAATTGTAGGTTCTACGTAATTAAGGTAGCCCAACACATGGTTTCCCTATTTTTAGGGATTAGTCAAAGATTTCATATTTTATCCTAGTTATTTTCCCACTAAAATATGAAGGTTCGAGTAATTCCTAAAATCAAGGGAGACATGTGCTAGGCTCCCCTAATTAGTGCCTAAAATTAAGGAAACTCTTAGAACCTTGAAGACAACTTGCAAGCAACTTGAGCAGCAACTCTCCTATCGATTTGCACACCTAATGGGTCATTTTGGCTACAATGTGGCCTAAGTGGGAGATTCATGGGATGCAAGTTTGGCACAATTTAGGTGGCTAAATTTTTCCTAAATTAAAATGATATGGACCTCCTTCAACGGCTGGTTCTTGAACCCCATATCCTACCTCATCTTGGACTTCAATTCAGCCAATAAAAAAGCTATAACACTAAGACAAAAGATTTTTCTTGGCTTGAGCTCTTCTTCCAATACTAGGCACTTCGTCTTTACAATTAAAAACAATGAGCTTGTTTTTGAAGTTTCTTATTCGAGATCTTGTCATGGGCCTTCTAAGACTTCCAAAGTCCAAGTATTTTTATTGGAGTTATTCCTCCACACATGCTATCATAGACAATCATATTTCATTCTACCACATGCATTAGAGCAAAGGTTCAGTACAGGGTCTCGACTTATGAGCAACTATCAGGTCAGGACATGCTAATAATCTGCTATTTAAGGTAAGCTTTAGATCCTCTGCAGCAATGCACCGCTACAGTCATATTTAATTCCCAAACTTACAACTTCTTAGCCTTGTAATAAACAAATTATCAGTTTCCAAAGGATCAAAGACTGTAAAGGCAGACCTCCTTACATAGCATTAGTACTTCATTCAACAGAAAGGTGAACAGATCATAGCGTAGCTAACAAAAACTATGAAAGAACACTGAGCTTAAACATTTCTAGGTGAAAGCCGCAAATAATCATAGTCATAGTGATAGGAAAACCTCATCCCCATATAGACTAAGGATCCCATATCACAGTGAGCAGTAGTTGCCAGAATCATATAAACACAGAAGTTAATACATCAAATTGACCTTCTCGATTCACATATACAATCAACATTAGTAGTTTCCAGCAAAACTATCGGCTTCACAACTCCGGAGTACTATGGAAGAGAAAATATCCACTTGTTTTATTGCATACTACAAAAGCATAAACAACTAATTCAAGAATTCTTGAATTGAGAAAGGAAGAGCCAAAAACAGAGGTTTTCAACAGATCGTATACACATAAAAAGAGAAGGTGAAAGAGAGGCAAGATGCAATGCATCTTCAAACTAAATATAGGTAATAAACCATATTTTCACAGATAAAGCCAACAACAGAAAATACGAAGAACAAAGATACAAGAGAAAGAATGAGGAATTACCATGTGGGGATACTTGTCCTCATCAACAACCCTAGTGTTTTCAAGCTTAATGTTGAGATACTGATCAACTGAATGTAGTGTTCCTCGAATAGCCAAATCGTTCTTCAGTTCGACAGTCACTTCCCTGCCCACCAGATCCTTGAAGTATGAGAAAAACAACTGGAAAACACAGAAGGCCAGGGGGAAAACCAAGTTAGAACATAGACCAAACAAATTCATGAGAAAAAAACTCAAATCAGAAGTGATCAGTAAATAAACTTTCTATTCAAGACCAATCGAAAAAAACAAAGCAGACACCAATTATATACAAATTAGGCGTGTATAAAGAGGAACATACAGGCTACAGCATTAAGAAAGAGGGATCAGGTAGCAGTACCATTTTTATCTCTCAGGAAGTATCACACTGTGTTCTCTGTAATCCTTGGCAGCTATCTGCTTCAAAAAAAACTGTGAGATATTATTAAAGCTCATAATATATGAGGGATTTGGAGGTGAGATATGCAGATATCAAAGCATGCACAAGTTACCCTCCACTTCTCGAGAATCCTCAAAAGCTCTATGGATTTCCTCGTCAACATCCCTATACTCCGAGACCCTACTCTCTACCCATCATCTCCCTTAACCCCCTTACCACCTCGAACTCGCCCCCAACCAGTGTTTTGGGAAGAAAGAAGCGGAAAAAAGCGACGAGGGCTCGCTTCACAGAAGCGAAGCGCGAGCTTTTTTTAAGTAAAGCATATATAGTATAAAAATAAAAAAAATATTAAATAACTGAATAGAGGTAATATATTATTAGATTAAAAGTAAATAGATAGTCAAGAATCCTCATAAGTCATAACATATAAAGCAAAAACATAATTAAATCACAAAAGGATCAGACGCAGCAGCCACGCAGAGAAGAAGAGAAGAAGAAGAAGAAGAGAACTTACAAGCAGTGGCAGACTGGCAGCAACCAAAAATTGAAAAAAAGTCGCAGAACAGTCGCAAAGAAGAAGAGAAGAAGAGAACTTATAGCAGCGGTCGCAGCAGTCCAAAAAACAAACTTGAAATCGCGAAAGTGGTATGTGAAGTCGCCTAAGGATTTCAGAAATTAAAAGAAAAACATTTTTTAAACCAAAAAACCGTAATTAGCGCTATTTCACGCTTTCGCTTTTCTTTTTCAATGTCGCCGTGCTTCAGGAAATAAAAGCGCAGGGGCTGTGCTTCGCCTCGCGTCGCGCTTTAAGTGCGGTTTTCCTCGCTTTTTATAAAACTGCCCCCAATCTATAAACTAAAACTCAATAGCACACTATACACACCTTAATATCCCATTTGGAATATTATTCAAATACTTCTTTCGGCTGATTAGGAAATGAAATCAACTGTAGCTTTTCACTTACTACAATCCCAAATTCTGGAAAATAACAACAAAAACGAAGAGAGAAAAAAACATCGCACGGACTTATTTGTTTCTCCTAATCCTAAATATCAACAAAACTTAATCATTTCCAGCATAATACACACCATCACAACTTAAAAAGCAATCCATTACATAAGACGACAAACAAAAACCACAAAGGAACATGAGAAATCGAATTCAAGGATCTGTTTATAGTGCGTAGCAGTACAAAACATGGCAACAAAAAACGAAATTCAGTACTATTAGAAGGAAGAATTAGGGTTTTTTTTTTCGTTACAGAGATATCTAAAGAGGAGAACTTACATTTCGACTTCGCCGGAGGTGGAAGTGCGTCGTACAGCTGAAAGGGTAGACTACTTTAGCTGCGTCTGAATTTGGACTTAATTTGCTTGAAAACCTATACATATATATGTATGATATTTGTTTGAAAATACTTCAATTTTTATTTAATTTATATAATGCTTTTTTTTTCCTAAGAGTTATTTTAACTATATCAATTTTTTTTGAAATAATATGAAATTAGAGAATAGTTTTAATCAAACAATCGAATATATAACTTGAAGACCTTCTGCTGCTTTGGTATTGCTCTCATCTATTTCTTTTGCCCTCCGAATAAAAAGTAAAGGTGCGTGGTGAGATAAATAGACGTAGCTGCTATATTTTTTTTAATTATTACTCTCATATATGTCTTTTACCCGCCTTTATAAAAGTAAAGGAGCATAGTAAAATAGATAGACGTTTAATCATATTACAATGTTATAAAATATTTAGGTATAATTACATGTTCAACTGAAAAATCAAGAGCCAAAATAACAAATAAATAACTGAATGAAATACAGAGAACCAAAATAACAGAAGGAAATATTATGGACAAAGAGTTAGAAGCTGTCTAATCAAGACGACCCTCAAGTAGCACAATAACCATACACAAATAAACATTACTAGGAACAAGGTAATTATATAGATGATTACAACAATATCAATGACACTGACGGACCCAAATTTACATCTATGTCAAACTACAGCCTGCATCATGAAGTTACAACTTCAACTACAATCTTTGTTTCACGCGTCGACCATTGAAATCACCGCCGTCAAGGACAAGACCATTCCCTAGCTTGTTGGTGATGCTGGAATGTTCATTTACCCTAGCAACATACTCCAACAGTTCTGTGAGGACATGAGGGCAACTTTCTCTCAGATAGTCAAAACCATCCGTTTGCATTACAGCTGCATAAAAAAGGATTCTACGATGAAAATCCACTTTCATTTCTGCAATGCTTCAATTCAACCATATGCATCGAAATTGGAAACAAAATTTTTCTAAAGCAGCAGTAAGAAATTCCCCCACATGTGAATTTACTTCCCAGTGCTTTTGGCAGCAAAAATCACTTTTAGGAGGGCATCAACACATTCAAAACAAGCGAATGAAGGTCAATCAGAAACAGCTCTCATAGCCAATTCCAGTAAACAGCTGCCCAGAAAATGGAGGGAGAGGGCAGGTGATGATGGACTTTGAAAGAAAGTATTGTATGGCCTTGAGACCAATTAGGTTGACCAATCAAGTTAATTCCATGACCCCCCAGTTGACAAATGACAACAACAAACTGTAGAGTAGCAACCCCAATTTCACTCTTTTTTCCTTGTTGGGCCTAAAGCTGAACCCCTTTAGAACAAGGACAAACAATAATGTCTCATTTAAGGGCTTACTAAATATAGACTGCAACGGTAGGCAGACATCTCCCCTTCCAAGTTCAACTTAGGGACAATTCTTTTAGCAGTACATGAAGAAAATTGTTGAAATTGCGATCAGAACTTCTAAAAATTTCACTTAAGAGAGATTAAACACGCATGAAACACATCTATTACAGAAAAAAATTTAAAAGGGGAATTATATCTTTTAAGAATTATACTTAGAACAGATTATTTGTAGATCATGGTGACAAAATTATTAATGTAAACAAACCACAAAAACTTAAGTACTTGAACCAAATAATTGAACTGAATCCCAACTTTGATGTAACATTTTGACATAAGTTGATTAGAAGATAAAAGAGCACCTCTTAGATTTTCTGGCATGGCAACAAATTTGAGACAGACAGATTTCAGCTGGAAACAATGGTGCTGTTCAGCCAGGGCTAAAGTGGTTGCAACAGTATTAATAGCAACTTCCTCACACAGGTTAGCCTCACAGAGCAACCTGAGCCTATCTAACCCATAACAGTCAGCTGCCGCAAGCAGATGTTGAGACATCAAGGTTGATGCCCATTTTGTGTTCAACCCTGTGAGTTCTTCCATGTCCGGTAGCACGTCCCAGTACATGAAATGAAGAAGAGCCTGTCATCAACATACACGAGAATTGAGCAAATAACGCAAAATTAAATCACAATGTTAACTGAAAAGAGAGAATCACATCAAAATTGGAACCAAAAAATTTTTAGTGCAAAATGAATTCCAGGTATGGCTTCTCTATCTGGCATCTTTTCAGCGACACAGCTTGTTGTTGATATCATAACAAAATTACACAGCTTCGATGATTATGCCAGATATGCAATATTTTTTTACTTTGACAAGAAAACCCACAACCGAAGATATGCATGTTAATTAAAGCATGTAATCAAAAGCGGGTACATAAGACATAAAAAAATAAAGAAAAATAAATATATAAATATGTAATGCCAGGAAAAAGTAAACGTAAACTTGAACAACAATTATATAAAAAGGAATTAGAAAAACTACACTCATAATATGTGAGCAAATATAATAAATCAAGTTCAAAACCGAACTTGAATTTCTAAATCAAATGTAAAGATAAATTTTATGTATTTATATTCTCCTACTCCTTAATAATTTATTGAGAGTTGATGTATCACCCAAACCAATATATAGTACGAACCCCCTTCGGCGGAAAATTATATTATTTATACATGGTTAAAATAATTTATGTGCATACAAAAAAGATGTTGAACCCCCTTCGGCAACTTCATGTGTCTATTTCTACAGATTTTGAAACCCCCCCCCCCCAATTGAAAATCCTGGCTCCGCCTCTGGCACCTCGGTGCCTACACTGGAATAGCACCAAAAGGGAGGCAAAATGCGTAGCTTATGTTGGATCTAACCTCAAGAAGAACCTCGAGTGAGCCTTTAAAGAACATTGATCATGCCTAAAGTAGGGATCAGGTCAATGCCTGAAAGAAAGAGGCAGAAAAATAACAAATAAATGGAGCATTGAAAAATTTGCCAGATCACACTGTGATAGAAGAAGCAATGACAACTGAGAGAATAGAAGAATTAGAAGTTCGGTAGTAGCATAGCTTTCCAGATTATTAACAGGTGGTGACTTGAAAACTTACAGATTGTGTTATTGATAGTACACAACAAGCAGTCAAATCAACATAAAGGCAGGAAAGGGGTGGGAGGTAGTACAAGGCTTTGACCTTAAAAACAGGGGCTTCCATGTCTTCTACTTTTATATGCTCTGTATTTTGATCCTTCATTGGACCAAAAAGTTGTGCTCTGAACACAGGTGACCTTGCAGCAAGTACCAATTTGTGAGCAGCAAATACCTCTCCATTAACATCGAAGTTCACATCAGTATCCTTCCCACTTTCAAGTAGCTGTCCAAAATGCAGTCCAATATCTGATGGAGATAGAGGAATGGAGTATGTTTTAGGTCCTTCGGTGTGAGACCTCACTACACCAACACAGCAATGAACTTGCAGGCAATCATCCTTCAGGTAGTCAGATGATTCTAAAGCGGTTCTTTTAAAAAATCGCTTATATCCCCTGCAAAACCCAAATTCGGTCATGTAGATTATTACAAGCTGCGTGTTGAGTAAAAGAAACGTTCCAAACATGGCTAGAGAAGTTAAGATGTGAATTAAGAACTTTTTAAGTCAAATCTCGCTAGTGAACATTCTGGTATTAAGACTGAAATGCAAAATTCTAGCTAAGAATTTCAATCCACAAGAAAACCACCACCAAGCTTCAATTTCAAAAGCTCATATGGAAACAATATGCCGTTTCTTAAGTTGAGTAATGAAAATAGAAGTAAAACGATAAGACTGAATAAGCATGTAAAGGTTAGGAGACAATGACCAGTGAGTCGTACAAGGATAACGCTGTCTGCAGTTTCTTATAGTAAAGTTCAGCAAATCTATAAATAAAGACATGATTAAAACACTCAGTTGTCACAAAAGCACAAGTGTATCACAACACAATCCCATATATTTGAAAGAGGCAGAGTAGGTGTCACTAGCCAGTACTAGAAAATCTTCAAGAGTCTAACTTTGAGCTGAGCACATAGGAAAAAGTAAGCATTTTGGCCATTTCATTACTATAAATAAATAAATAAATATATATATATATATATATATATTTATATTTATATATATATTATACACCCATATACATAAAATCTTCAATTTTGTGTCACATAAAATCAAAACGGAAAAATGAAAAGGAAGGAAAATTCTCAAGTCAGTGAGGAAAGAATATGATCAGTAAAACACATGGATTGTTTAGAAAGGTGTAGCCAAACCAAAAATGCCTAAGAAATGTATCAACGTTTATTGAGATTTAAGCAGAAAGCACAATCAAAGGGTGATTCTTCAACCAATAAAAAGGCCAGATGAAAAAAAAAAGAGAGAGCATATGTATATGCAAGGAAATAACCATGAGCAAAAAGGAACAGACGATATTTCATTGGACAAGCATGTGAAGTAAGAATTTGTAAACCAAGTTCAAAAAATGAAGCTAAAATTGTGATTCAATTATTAAAAAATTATAAGTTTGTAATGTTAGAATCATTTCTTAAATGTGGAGTTAATATTAAATTATTGTTACGCTTTAGTAAACCGGGCTGAATGTTAGTAGGTGTAGGACAAGATACACACTGTATATTTGTGTGGATTCCATACGGGCCTATATCCCTTTCATGCCATGTATGTGGGATAGCAATAGTGTAGGACTATTGAAGACCAATGAACTTGTGATGGGAATGAGCCCCAGGTTAAGCCCGAAGAGGGGACCTAACCTCATATTTATAGGCTTAAACGCCTTAACTAGTATGCCTACCCATTACGGACTCGATTTCAACTGGCTTACACTATTGACAGTCCACACATATGACATGAAATGGATACAAGCCCCTTTAGAATCCACACAAAAAACACAGTATGCGTCCTGTCCAACAACTACTATCATTCAACTCGTTTAACTAAAATGTAATAATAGGTTAATGTTGTCCAATTGAGAGAATGTTAGGATTATTTATTCAATGTGAACTTAACATTAACTTATTATCTTTTAGTAAAATGGGTTGAATGTTAATAATTGTTGGACAATCACAAGTTGTGTATTTGTGTGGATTCCATATGGGCCTGTGCCCATTTCATGTCATATGTGTGGGCTTGCAATAGTGTAAGGCTGTTGAAAACTAGTGAGTTGCATCATGGGAGGCACACTAAATTAAGGCTTTTAAGCCAATAAATACTAAATTTAGGCTTTTAAGCCTATAAATATGAGGTTAGGTCCCCTTTCCGAACTTAACCTAAGATGCATTCCCATAAGGTGTCAGTTATGACTATGGCACATAAAAGTACGCACCTCCTTGTTGCATTTTCAATATAATATGTAGGTGTGTTCTCGATCTATGTAATTACTACTAGTTATATATATAGTTTGTTCTAACATGTAATTCACATTAAGTGACTAATTCTCCAAATCTAATATTTTAATATCTAGTAAATATTTGCCAATGGATCAATAAAATATCATATACATAAAATTTTCAACTCATTAACAATTCGTATTTAAGTTTGTCAACTACATTTTTTTTCAGCTAAGGATCTATTGGAAACAGCTTTTCTACTTCAGGAAGGTGGGAGGGGTGACCAGGTGAGGTCTAATTACATTGGGGTATGTTATTGTTGTTGCTAGCTACATTTTGATTGAGCCAAAGCTACAACATCACATTTTAGCATGTCCACTGCAGTGAAATGTCATCTAAACATAGGAAAGTGTTATTCCTAGAAATTGATGAATTTATCCATTATTATGGCACAAGAGAACGTCACATTGTTATTTAATCTTTTCTACTTACAAGAATATTATATATGAGCAATTCTTGCTTACTTCCTTAATGAGAACGAATTGAGGTCGGGAAACTGACCACCAAACAAGGAGTAAACTAACCAATTTATCGAGTCTCACCGGGAAAGGATCGTGGTGTCAGGGAAAATCATAAACCAACAAAACAAGCAGTGTTATAGTACATGAAACTCACCACATGCTTCCACGGTATTTAAGAGTGTACGGTCCACTCTCCAACGCTCTCCCAAAATGGCTATGCACTTTATGCCTACTCTTACCACTCTGATCAATCAGCGTCAGCTCAAAAAGCGCCCTCACATCCGTTCCTTCGCTCGCTAGAGCAATGAACAACGACACATATGTTGAATTATCTTCAGTACTCTTCCCATCAGGATAGAAATAAATCGCCCACGTATACCCACCTACCATAAACGTATCAGAAGCGATATACTTCCCAATCCCAATCCCTTTCGACAACGAATACCCAGTAATCTTAAAATCATGAGAACCATTCACCGTCTCAGTCACCGATGTTGACGTGGTCACCGCAGATGATGATGATGAAGATGAGGACGATGAGGAGGGTTTGGCAATTGCCTCTGTTTCAACCCTTCCCATGTCCACCATACGTGAAAATTTCAACAATAACCACCTCAATCAGTCAATTTTTTTTCAAACTGAGGTAATTCAGAAATGTGGATCAGATCTAGGGTTTAGAAAGAGAAATTTGTAGGAAATGAGCTACGTTAGGGTAGGGAATTGGGGTTTATCGGCGAAATTGATGGGAGATTTCTACGATGGAGATGGAATCTAGGCTCTGTAAATTTGGGGTTGTGGAATTTTCTAGGGTTTCGTGACAAAAGGAAGAAGAAGAAGCAGAAGAAATGAAGTAGATGAATGATTTATATATAAGAAAAATGGTGGATTAGGTAATGGTAAGGTGGTGCATATGATTGTGTTGTAAATGCATAATGTAACCGTTAGGTCTAAAAAGTAGTATACGTTAATTACGTTATACCTCTAAAGTTTTTTAAATTATAGAGTAATAATTTCGAAACTTCTAGAATGGATGTATAGATTCATATTTTTCCCTTGATATATAAGTTGCATAATAATTATACTGTATTAGATACATGACTATTTATTAAATTTATATCGATTGAGATTTGAAATAATTAAAATAAAAAAAGCTAATAAAAATATTTATACCATATACATAGTATACAAACATAATCGCACAATGTATACAGAAAAGAAAAAAGGTATTTTGTAATTAATTAAATGGTAATGATTAAAAGGATTATGTTATGTAATTTATGTATACGTATTAGCGATGCGGATTTCTAAAAATAGTAAACTAGATAAAGTATTAATTTTATGCCTGAACGATTTATCTTTTAATTACTAGCTTCAAATATAGATAGTTTTTTCTGATTATATCATGCATAAATAATAAACTATGTTTGGTAATTAATTAAGAGATAAATTATTTATATATAAAATTAATATATTATAATTAATTGTTGTTTTAAATTACACATAATTAGTATATTAGTGTATTTATATAAGCTATATATAAGAAGTGATACATTATTTTACACAGAAATGTAGAATGATTAGGATATATTTTATAAATTATTTATATATAAAATTAATATATTATAATTGATTATTCTTTTAAATTACAGATAACTAGTATATTTATATAAGCTATAAAAAGTTATACATTATTTTACACGGAAATTATAGAATGATTAATATATATTTTATAAGAGAAGAAACCAGTGGTTATTGGTCGATTTAGCATATTTATTTGATAAAAAAAAAGATATATGTTTTATAAATATACTTAAAGTGATATGAATTATACCATTTATGTAATTATATCATTTATGTAATTATATCAGGTAAATATAACCAAAAGAGCAATATTTCAGATTCTACATTGGACAAATTACCACACAATAATATTTTGTTTTCTTCGTGTAAAAGAGAGCCGGTGTGAGAGAGGAGTGGAGTCAGAATATATTAGTGAAAACTTATAATATAACAAAAAAAAAAATACAAGATTATAACTGAAAATAAAATCTTTTCAGGTTGAGGCGCGGATATCTCGCTCTCTTTAAAGAGATTCAAGCTCACTGCAGCAAATATTTTTACCGGTCCAGCAATAGTCCTCTTTTTGAACTTGTCCTCTCCAGGATACAACAGTCCTCACAAATTATAACTCAACAACTCCAGACAAGAGTTGAGTCAAAGCTCCACAAAAGAAAATATCCATTCAACTAATGAGAACTCTATTTTAGACTAACACTTTTACTCTATGTTTTCTCTTTGTGTATTGTGTGTTTCAAACCAAATGAAGATCACTAATATTTATACTAGAAGAAGTCTTCCTAGCAGTGAATAAAAAGATAAATGTGTAGTAAATAATGAAAATAATGATATTAAGAGTTACATAGATTATAAAAATAATGGTGGAGTAAAGAATGGAATAATAAGAGGGCTAACCAATGCCTCTAACGTACATAAGCACAACGGCCAACTTACCAAACGTTCATCACAAAGTATTATGCTATAATGTCTTTCAATATTAATTATCCACTAAGTAATTAGGCACAAAGCATTGCAATGGTCATAACGCCCATGTCCTCAATTATTTTAGCTTATAACAAAATTATGTGAGATAAATTAATAATAATCAAATATAAAATGCTCAAAATGCCAACAAGATATTATAATCACTTTCGTTAAAAAAAATTATATTATACATAAATTTAATAATATTTTTTTTCATATATATATATAAATATTGATTTTTTATTAAAAAAATTATATGTTTATCTTACAATATTTTGAATTTATTAGTGAGAATTTTCACGCCTCAAATTTTAAAACGTTAACTCATTAAAATGATAATCCTATCAAGTGCTATTAGCTTCAAAGTTGTGATCTCAATTATTATCATTATAATAAAATAATATAATTCTTTTAAATTCCTAAAATATTTATCTGAATCATTACAATATTAAATCAAACACTATAGAAACTAGTAACAAAAGTAAATTATCAATGTATAGGTCTAAGAGAAATTTGATAAAATATTGAGGGCATACTTTGCATTAGCAATTAAGGTTGTATAAAATTTAGGAGAATTGTGTCGAAATGATAATTACATTAACAGTTTTTATAATTTTAAATTTGGAGATGCTCACTTGTTTTAATATAAAATTACTATTTATCAACCATTATAAGAGCATATCGCAATATTTAAAATATTAATGAGAAAAATAAAATTAATCATATCTTTAAAAAAACATTCAATTTTGGAAGAATTTTTGTCATCTCACAAGAAATTCACAAAACAAACAGTATATTAACACAAAAGTTTAGTATACAAAAGAAGTAAACAAGAGAAAAATATTGAGAAGGAAAGAGGAAAATATAAAAATGTGTAATTAGTTGTTATTGGCAAAAATCTAACCCTTAACTCCCACTAAAAACAAAACCTTCAAACTAGCCACAAATTCAAAGCACCCATTAGGAGATACTTTTTATTTTTATTGGGTGTTTGGAATGTTTAATATTGTCTTTTTTGAATGTTTGAAATGTTTAATATAATTGGTTGTTGAAGAAATTACTATATATATAAATAATTTTAAGTTTGAGATCAGAAGGGTGTATGTGAATACGTCTCTGACTATTTACTTATTTATTTTTAATTAGAAATTTTGAATTTGAATTTAAATTTTTTAATATTAAATTATTTTTGTTAGAAAATAATTTATCACTTAATATAACTTTTTTTGATATAAATATAAATTTAATCAAATTTAAATATAAATATCAAATATAAAATATATATAACCAAGCACATGAATTGTTGAAGCACAGAGAGGACAGATGCCCACTGCGTTGGGTTTCTTTTTTTAAAAATAAAATAAATGAGGTAGAGATTTTTAATTTATACATTCTATTTATTCTCTGTTTCATATTATAAATTATCTTTTTCATTTTCATTTTCATATTTATATTAAGAAATAATGTAATTTTATTCTTATACTCTTATTCAATTAGTTATAGATTTTCAAGATCAATTAAAGTAAATATATTATTAAAAATTAATTAATTAATCAATAAGGGTATAATGAATAAAATATGATATTTATGTATAAATTTTATAAATGATATATATTGTGGTTCAATTATTTTTAAAAAGGGGTGACTTATAATATGAGACAGAAATAGTATGTTAGACCTTTCCTTGTCTCTTTTTTATATTTCCTATTTCATCTTATGCTAAGTTTTGCAAAGAATAATAATTATTTTTTTGTAAAGGCATAATACATAAATATGTCTTTTAATTGGGAAAATTGTATATAATAGTAAACTAATAACCTAAATTAAATGGAATAGCTAGGGTTTGATTTAATTGTGCTCCATAGCAAACATTAGCTAAAATTTGTCAGCGTGTCTCTTCCAAAAATCTCGCTCGCCACTCTCCATTCTCGCTCGCCTCTCTCGCTTTATACACAGAAGTGTATAATTTTGTTTATGTTTTGTATAAAGCGAGAGAGAATTATATATACACATGCAAAAATGTATATCTTCATGTTATACACTTAATTATACAATTTACAAACATTTTACTTCAAATATTGCAGAGAAAAAGGCCAACGAATTATACAATTGCGAATTATGCAATTGCAGTGAAATACAATTTTCTCTAGCTTTATACAACAGAAGTGTATATATTGTGTTTCTGTTTTTGTATAAAGCGAGAAAAACATATATCTTCTTGCTATACACTTATAATTATGCAATATACATACATTTTAATTCGATTCAACTGTATGCAAAACAAATTATACAATTGCAGCGAAATAGGCCAGCGAATTATACAATTTAGGCCAGCGAATTATACAATTTAGGCCAGCGAATTATACAATTGTATATGTATAACAAATTATACAATTTTATGTTTGCTATGAAGCGCAATTATGCAAAGTTTGCTATAGCATACAACTATGATTTTTTGTTTGGTATATGTAAAAGTTGCCCCTTTTAATTTGATTTCAACTTATATTTATGCCGTTCAACTTTAGATGTGCATAAATAGATACTTAAACTTATATAAAGTTGAACAAATAGACACACATGTCCTACATGTCATCCTACCTGTCATTTTTTGTCTTACGTGGTGTCCAACATGTATTGTGTCTTGTAGGACTCATGTGTTTATTTATTTAAAAGTTAGATATTCAAAATGTCTGTTTGTGCATTATGAAAGTTGAAAGTCAAAATCAAAATTTGAAGTTAAGTTTAGGGTCCAATATATATATATTATGCTTTTTGCAAACTATAAAAAGATTAAAGCGTAAATTAATAAACAAATTTAAAACAAAAATGGAATATAAATCACACAAAGAAGCATACATTAAAGTTGCAACACAAAAAACTCTTCAAATGAATACTATAAGGATTACTTACCATTCTAATTTAAGAGAAAAATATATGAAACTTATATAATCTTTAGAGATGTGAATAGAAAATAATGGTAAAATTTATCAGCAATTATGTTAAATCAATATATATCATGTTATATATTTAAATCTATAGTTCATTTTATTTTATTAAATCAGATAATAATTTCACAAAAAATAAGGTATTTTTAGATCTGCTTGGTAAAAAAATTAAAGATTTTCAATTGGGTGGACCAAAGGCAGTGTGATTATAATAATAAATCTGCACCACAAATCTAAGAAGAATCCAAAAACATAGAAAGTTGAAAGCTTTAATTTTGTCAAGATTCAAGAATCCAACCAAAAAGATGTAACCCCTAATTTCTGAAGGGCCATTAAGTTTTGTAAACCACCAAATTGCAATAAAATCTAGGGAACTTAAGGTGAATAGCAGGATAAGCCCCTGAT